AAAATAGGGTACTATAGAGTGGGGGTGCTATAGACAGGTAACTTTTAATGTAAATCGCATCATATTACGTATTTAAAAGCGGGCGCTATTTAGAGGGGGCGCTATAGACAGGTTTAACTAAATATAATTTAAAAAATTATATATATACACACTCATATAAAATACCTTAAAATATTTAAAAGTCTTTGTTGTGTCGCCGGTCGTCTGTTTATTTAAAGGAGACAGAGGCAATTTTGTTCACACTTGGTTATCTTGTGTGTCTTCAATAAAGGTCACTTTGTATCAAATATCTTTCAGAGTTATTGTCTCGATCCCGATATACATGGTAAAAGATACAACTTCCTTAAGTTTGTCCATGAGTGTAGACTTGGTTATCTCGTGTGTCTTCAATAAAGGTCACTTTGTATCAAATATCTTTCAGAGTTATTGTCTCGATCCCGATATACATGGTAAAAGATACAACTTCCTTAAGTTTGTCCATGAGTGTAGACTTGGTTATCTCGTGTGTATTCAATAAAGGTCACTGTGTATCAAATATCTTTCAGAGTTATTGTCTCGATCCCAATATACATGGTAAAAGATACAACTTCCTTAAGTTTGTCCATGAGTGTAGACTTGGTTATCTCGTGTGTCTTCAATAAAGGTCACTGTGTATCAAATATCTTTCAGAGTTATTGTCTCGATCCCGATATACATGGTAAAAGATACAACTTCCTTAAGTTTGTCCATGAGTGTAGACTTGGTTATCTCGTGTGTCTTCAATAAAGGTCACTGTGTATCGAATATCTTCAAGAGTTATTTTCTCGATCCCGATATACATGGTAAAAGATACAACTTCCTTAAGTTTGTCCATGAGTGTAGACTTGGTTATCTCGTGTGTCTTCAATAAAGGTCACTGTGTATCAAATATCTTTCAGAGTTATTGTCTCGATCCCGATATACATGCTAAAGGGTACAACTTCCTTAAGTTTTGTCCATGAGTGTAGACTTGGTTATCTCGTGTATCTTCAATAAAGGTCACTGTGTATCAAATATCTTTCAGAGTTATTGTCTCGATCCCGATATACATGCTAAAAGGTTCAACTTCCTTAAGTTTTGTCCATGAGTGTAGACTTGGTTATCTCGTGTGTATTCAATAAAGGTCACTGTGTATCAAATATCTTTAAGAGTTATTGTCTCGATCCCGATATACATGCTAAAAAGTACAACTTCCTTAAGTTTTGTCCATGAGTATAGACTTGGTTATCTCGTGTGTATTCAATAAAGGTCACTGTGTATCTAATATCTTTCAGAGTTATTGTCTCGATCCCGATATACATGGTAAAAGATACAACTTCCTTAAGTTTGTCCATGAGTATAGACTCGGTTATCTCGTGTGTATTCAATAAAGGTCACTGTGTATCAAATATCTTTCAGAGTTATTGTCTCGATCCCGATATACATGGTAAAAGATACAACTTCCTTAAGTTTAGTTCATGAGTATAGACTCGATTATCTCGTGTGTATTCAATAAATGTCACTGTGTATCAAATATCTTCCAGAGTTATTGTCTGAATCCCGATAAACATGCTAAAAGGTATAACTTCCTTAAGTTTTGTCCATGAGTATAGATGTGTCTGGGTGTGTGTACACCAAAAAAGGCATCTCTTTCCAATTAAAAATGCATTTAAAATCATACACTAGTAGCCCGTAAAACCACATTTTCTCTCTAAAAATGTATTAAAACTTCGCATTTTGTTTTATTACTCCAGTACAAAACGTTATGATGACGATGAAGAATGTGCTACAGCACCAGTTTTGTAAATTCAGGCAATTCAGCTAACCTGTATACAATGGTTTCGGGTTCTGACCCTCATCAGTACAGGGGCGGCTCTGAATTCGATCATTCTACGAGAGGCGTTTGTAATTGATCGAATTGGCCAAAATGATGTTAAAGATGGTAAAGTAGCAGGGTCGATTTTCAGGCCAATATGCAATTTGAAGTTATGGGAGGATGGTATTCATGTACCAAAGAGAGGAACCTCTCCCTTTAAAAATGTATTGAAACAATGTATTTTGGTTTATCACTTCAATACAGAACGTATAGGATGAGATGAAGAATGTACCAGGAATGAATAAGTATTTTTAGATGATGAATCAGTCATCTACTGGAGATATAGAATAAAAGTTAATTTAGGTTTAATTCCGATATTAGTTGATGGTACAAATTCCAAGTACACTTTGTACAGGCCATGGTAATCATTAGATTTTTCTGATTAAAAAAAAAAACGCTTCAATGGTTCCCGGTTCTTAAAAAAGTACAACCCCACCAGCGAGTGCAAGTAACTAAACGGGGCTCAGGCAAATTTGTAAGTGCAAAAGTCGAACTGCTTTTCATATGTGTAGACATGTGGTACACTTACAGTAAAAGCAGTCGCCTACTTCTACCCACCATGATTATCATGGCCTGTACCACCTGTACTAGTGATAAGCAAAAAAAAAAAAAAATCATTAGGATAGTTAAGCCCTGCTTTTACTGTGAGTACATCACATGTCAACACAAGAAAGCAGTTCGATTTTTGAACCATACAAGTGTTCCAGCGCACTGTTTGGTTACATGCATCCACTGGTAAGGTTGGCCTTCTGATGGAATCGGGGGGCATCTCTAGAAGCAAATTTTCTTCACAAAAAAAAAAAAAAAAATTGTCCAATGCGGGATTCGATCCCTAGTCGTTTTTTTCAAAATCGATGGTTTATGCCACTCGTCCATATACCCCCTAAACAAGGAATGACAATACATCCAGATGGCACAAGAACCTATAGGATATGCAGCAACTGTCCTGGTGTGGAACTAACACCTACCCACCTATTCTCATGTCCATCAATGGCCGCAGCCTTTCATAAAATTGACATGGACCCAGAGCAGCAGTTTTACACACCCAAGATAGTGGACATTGCAACTTCTGTGATAGAGATGCATGGAGACATCTGAGGCTCTTCATTGGACACGACAACAACAACAGAAAATTGACATGGACTCAGAGCAGCATCTTTACACACCCAAGATAGTGGACATTGCTGCTGCTGTGATAGAGATGCATGGATACATCTGAGGCTCTTCGTTGGACACGACAACAACAAAAAAGAGATAAGATTTTCCATTAAAAAAAAAAAGAAATAAAATCTGGGTTCTCAACAAGCGCTTGACGTATATGTGTCTAATAGATTTAATACCTCGTCAGTCGACCACTGGGAGATTTCAAAAATAAAAAATACAACACACATGAAGTAATTTTTCATCCTAAAAGTTGAAATATTGTTTTATCTTTTTATGACTACTTTTGATAAACTTCCACGAAATCTTATCTATCTTGCTCATCATCTAAATATTAAAATGAAAATTCTGTTCTGTAGAACTTGTGCTGGCGGCTTGTAGAAAATTTTCTTAATATGGATATTGCAAGTTCTTGAAGTACCAGCCAGAAATGAACTGCCATTGTTTGAAATGCCAAGGAAGAAAATCTATAAGAATAATTGTTGGACCAAATATATATTTCTGTAAAAAAAAAAAAAAAAATAGACACTTCAGCCAGTAAAGGTTTTATTTTCTTAACGTTTCAACAAAAATATTTTGTTATAAAATAAATGAAGCTTCCAGGGTTAAGTTTCTTGTACAACTTTTTATTTTCAAGCTTTCGGACTTGTCAGTCCTTCAACAGGATTATCACGTTAACAACTTAATAAAAAAATACAATTTTTATTTACAAATTATTATATACATAATTTAAATACTTATTATATATTGAGAGAAAAATATATTACATTATTTCTGTTTGAAAAACAAAATTATTTGAAAATATACGTGTGTGGTGGATGATACGTGCTGGTTGAATGATATCTCGAGACTTCAAATTATATTTTATAAATTCGTGAACAAAAATATTTTGTCTTCGTCAGGAGAAATAAATAAAAATAAAGCATCTGCTCTGAAAGAAGAAAGAAGAACCCTTATGCTCAAAACTGGGCAACTCTGTGCTTCACTTCCATCAATAATTGACAATATGACCCAGAATAAGTATATTGCTACGGCGTTTTATGGTTTCCACAAGTCCATATCTCAGAAGAAGGCCAAGTGATACTCACTCCTCACTTTCTTACTGCTACTCTTTTTGTGTTGATTTCTTGCTTCCCTCTTTCTTATTATTATTATTTTTTTTTTTTTCCTTTTCTTGTTTTTTTTTTTTTTCTTTCTCTTTTTACTCTGTATATATCGCTATTTCCGTTGTCTCACTGCTTTGTTCTTATGCATACCTCTGGTGAATCCTGTATAGGGTCAGTGACCCTAAATAAAGGCTTTTTTGTTGTTGTTGTTGAGTAGAACTCATCAATGTTGTTGAAAAAAAAAAAAAAAAAAAAAAAAAAAAAAAAAAAATAAAGCATTTGACAAGGTGTTAAAAATTGTTCTGAGATTGCAAGGACGTTCTCACGCGATTTTTTTGAATTTAATACAACAGATATTATTATGGACTGATATCAACATATATAGTCACGACCGTCTTTCCTCCTCAATTCCTCATGTCACGGATGCGCGCGCATCATCATTATGATCATTATCATTATATAATGATAATAATAATAATAATTATTATTATATTATTATTATTATTATCAACATATATAGTCACGACCGTCTTTCCTCAATTCCTCATGTCACGGATGCGCGCGCATCATCATTATGATCATTATCTTCTATAGAAGCTTCTATCTTTATAATTATGTATATTTACAAAAAGTCAATTCGCTCGCGCCTCTAGCGGTGAAAATGAGGGGTAATACCAGCTGACCTAATGTACATGTAAAGTTTGGAGCGGGACGTTTCACAAGAGTGACATCCACGGCTCCAATTTATAATTGTAACAAATAGTATTGGAATAAAAACATTCAATCGGGTAAAACACGGGCGTTGCCCGGGTCATTCGCCTAGTTTTGAATATAAAGATTGATTCATATTTCACACACGTTTGATATCATTCATAATTTGATAGGCTCTCGTCCAATCACCGAAGTTAAGCAATGTCGGGCCCGGGTAGTACTTGGGAGGGTGACCACCTGGAAACACCGGGGGCTGTAGGGTATAACCGGGTAGTTGGCGATTTATTCTCCAGGAGCCCGGGTTACCAATATTTTTTTCTCTCTTTGATAGGTAATATTCATTTTCTTGGGGAAAAAAAGACCCTTCGATTGGAAACATGTCCTGAATGGATTGCTGAATAGAACCAGTTACCCAGGAAGTTCCATGCTGAGGTCGAGTCTGTGAACTTGACCATAGATGTAGGGTTGAGATGTGAAAATATATATATAAATATAAAAAAAGGCGCATCTCCTGATCGTAAAACTGATAGTTACTGATGGCTTACGCCATCTATCGTAATAAATATGAACTATTCGTTGCTTTTTAATTATTCCAGAATTGGTCAAATACCTTTTTTTTATTAATCAAGAAAAACTAACCACCTACGCGTTTCGGGCTGTTGGCCCTTATCATTCTTGATCAATATAAAAAAAAAGGTATACAAATCAACGATTAGTTGATATTTATTCCGATAGATGGCGCAAGCCATCAGCAACTTTTAGTTACACAATCAGGAGATGTATTTTTCTTAATTTATCCACCTGATCCAAGTACAGTTTCACTTTTGTAATTTTCCATATTTATCTCCTGAGAAGAGAAGAAAGATTTAGCTAAGAATATTAATTATTCCGTTAATTTTCCAGTTCCAAAATCTAAGATGGTTTGGAGCTTTGTATCAAAAACCATCAATGCTGATCATGTCTTGTGGAATACGAGCTGACAAGGAGTAGTGACCTCTTATTGATGACAAGTAACTTATTCCACTGAAGTATGAAGGTGTACAACAGACCTGGGGTTAGATAACTAAAGAGAAAGAGGCCAACGTGTCTAATAACATATATAAATCAATATATTAATAATAATTACACGTTAATGATAAGTTTATCGTTTTCCTCAGACTTATCATATAAATCCATGTATGAGACCAATTACCTTAATGAGATTTTCCTGTATATATAATCTGCATTATTATCATTGAATATAAATGGATTTTACTTCTGTTATTCTTTTCTTTTGCAGACTCCAGATTGATGCTCCGGGTATAATGCTCTATAACATAATAAAGGTTTTTATCTGTATGTATACAGCATTATGTATAGCAAGCTTCTTCAGAAAGCCCACGACGTGACAGCTGAGCTTTTCCTCAGCTGTGAGTGAACAGGGTCGACCGGTGACCGCCTCCCCGCGGTCCCTGCTGGACACAGTAGATAGTTTCCTAGTTTGCTGTGACAAAAGGTCACCGGTATAAAAATCCTTCCAGACATGTTGTCTGGGAGGTGGTTTTTCCAGGTACAATATTCAATCACTAGTTTGGATACCGTTTTTGGCTTTTGAGTTGAACAGGATAGCAGCGAATGGCATGCTTCACATGTCAGCTTATGGACTGAAAGGTCTGGAAGGCTATCTGCTTCTAGGATGTCTGTATGTGCTGACTGGTCGATTCCATGGAGCTAGACCATAAAGGCGGACGCGAAGGGCCAAACCAAATGGCCGCTCGGTGCATGGAGAATACACCAGTTCCTAACTGACTGGAAAACTGGATGTCAGGGGTGCAGCTTCGGTTGCAGGCGTTCAAGCAATACTAGCTTAGGTAGCCATTCCATCTTATGATGATGATGATGTATGTGCTGCTGACTTATGGACAGAAAGGTCTAGAAGGCCATTTGCTTCTAGGGTAAATGTATGTATTCCGACGTTCAGACTTCGGTCTAGGTAGCCCACTATCTATTGGTGTTGTATGTGTTTTAAGATTTCACAGACACGATTTTAAGTATTCTTTGTGTTCTACCTACAAGGAAAGAGGACGTCCCATTATTTCTTAAACGGTTTTTCAGGAATTTTTGGATTAAGTTTGGATATTTCTATAAGGATGGATGGTCATCTTCGGTATTGGAAGTCTGGCCAGATGAAATGGTTCAATAGTTTGGTCTTCTCCTTGAGAGCAATGTTTGATCTCCTTTTAATATCTTTGCGGAGTCTTTTATATACAATACAAACTTCTACTGTCCTTACTTCATCTCAGTAAAGACAGTAGAAGTTTGTATTGTATATAAAATAAACATTCGTGCTTAAATTCTTTAATTTTATATAATAAGCATTATTATTGAAGTAAATAGAATTTGGATAATTCGAACGTATTTAAATCGAAAACGTCTTCAATTCAAATATTTATCTTGGTCCCTATAATTTCCTATAAATAGAATTTCCATTTTTTAATTCGAATTTTTGGATAATTCGATTTTTTTTTGGTCCCTTGGACTTTGAATTATCCAAGTTCGACTGTATTTAAGAGACTGGCCATTGTTTCAAATACATTTATAGAACCGTCAGTTGACTGAGAAATATATCAATACAAATTGTAGATTTGAAAGAAGACTTCTAAATAAAGGATCCATTGAAAAATCTCTCAATGGTCCTAAGAATGCTACCAACAAAGAAGAAAGTGCTATCAGAAGAAATTGAGGATTCACAAATAGCTGTTATCCCCTGACACTATCTGGTCAGAGTTCAAGAGTCACTGACGCCAATGACTCAGCACCATTTCTATCTCTCTGTCCCTCCCCTATATAGATGATCTTGTCTATCACTCTTGAGATATTCTGTGAAGATGTTTAAACTACTCTATATAGACATTCTTTCGACAATAAACCAAATTTTACTCTTTTGTAGCGATATTTGGGGAAATCCACTGGAAGGACTCATTGCTATGCGTGTATAAGCTTATATTTATAAGGTTTTTAAGTGAGAATAATACCATTTACTTCTATATCCTAACTATAATGCAAAACATATTTGAAGGATCTGGCTGCTCATCAGCGGTGGACACTGTCAGCAATTCAAACCATTAGACCTTTCTCTAGTATTGTATTGGGGTCCAACATAATTTTAAAACAGCCATATAGTTATTATTATTTTATTTATTACAAAACAACACACATATCACTATATCTTATGTAGATAATTTAGCATATATGATTTGTAGATTGAACAATCAGTGGTATAAATCATAGTATCACATCAATTGTTATTGTCGTGTCCAATGAAGAGCCTCAGATGTCTCCGTACATATCTATCACAGCAGTCACAATGTCTTCTATATTGGGTGTGTAAAGCTTCTGCTCTGGATCCATGTCAAATTTCTGTTGTTGTTGTCGTGTTCAATGAAGAGCCTCAGATGTCTCCATACATCTTTATCACAGCAGTCACAATGTCTTCTATATTGGGTGTGTAAAGCTTCTGTTCTGGGTCCATGTCAATTTTATGTTGTTGTTGACGTATCCAATGAAGAGCCTCAGATGTCTCCGTACATCTCTCTATCACAGCAGTCGCAATGTCCACTATATTGGATATGTAAAGCTTCTGTTCTAGTTCCATGTCGATTGCTCTTAATTGGGAAATGGGAGCCGTTGCCATGTTAATCATCTTGGACCAGAATTTGGTCAAATATTCCAAGGGTCCAGGGGAGACCGCAAGGAGGTGTGGTCGGACAAGCATCTATTATGTAAAACTATATATTCACAATAATCACCATTTCAACACCCTACCCTCAACGAATACAAAGCTATTTTATGTCTGTTCCATCAAAGGACTTCAATTTTAGAGGTAATAAATTCTTTAAAGGCCTTTTTGTTAGCTTCCTCCTGGATGATAAATATCATTTATTTGTCAAGAAAGTATCCAAATATTTAAAGAGTTGGCTGTCTAGGAGACATGTCTAGTGAGAATAGAGAAGATGTGGCAAAACGTCCAATCTTCAATTTCTCTAGAGATAATATAATATAACATAATGTTTCGATCCATTATATTGCAACCTATAAAATTAGGAGAGACAAACAACAAGTATGAAACAGTAATTTATTTGATGTAAAACAAAATCATATTTTATTAATTATTATTCCTTTTATATACAAATATGCGACCGCCCCTGACACTGTCGTGTGTTTGTGGCACTGTATCCTGGAACACTTAGCATTGCGGTCTGTCTGCTCTCGATGGCACCTTTGGGCTCAATACTATTGGACCCGTCTCTGCCTCCCCCTGATCTCCGCGGAGCACCACCCTGACCTTCTGATCCTCCTCTACATCCCGGCTCTCCTGGCCTCACCTGGCGATGATCCCCTGGCCACCCATCCCCAGGCCCCTCCAACAGTGCAATGGTTTTCCGTTTATCATTACTTTTCACAATTCATCCTTTCATACTTCATCCCTAAGGTTAGAAATAATCGTTATTTCGCCTTAAAATAAATTTCGATTTTTCGTTCAAAAGAAACACATGCGGAATATTTTCCAAAGATCGTTCTACAATCATAAGCCGCATTATATTGTATTGTAATATATATATTTCTTTGTATATATTATGCGTCTATTGGGGCTCAAAAATCATCCATTCTGGTTAGCAGCTCCGTAAATAAAGATATTTCTAGGGCTTGGAAAGTCCACCACTGATAAGAAATATCCTCCCAAAATTTTTTGAACGCAATAAGAACAGTTGGAACTTATTTTATATTTTAAAAAAATGACGTTAAATATTTTTTCGTTTATACATATAGATGGCATGCCTAATGTTTAAATTAATTATTAGAATGAGATAAATAGTCATGGGGGTTGTATGGTTTATTTTGTATTCTATATCATCTCCACACTGTGTTCTGATAAAGTAGATCCATAGGAATGTATGGGAGTGGAAATAGGACAATTGGGACGATTCCTGTCCTAGGAGTCTAGGTTATGTACATTTGTTGTTTTTATCTTACTGTGTCAATTGTCAAACTGAAGAAATCTTTTGTTGCCCTGATACTGGTCTCTTCTCACATTTTTTAATGCTTCAGATTAAAAGAAAGAACTTTGAATTGTTCCCTCTATCAATTTTCCAAAATTAAGAAATCTATTGACGATTTCATCCATATGTACATGCATAAGAATGTAATTGTTTATATAAAATTATGTGACAGTTTACTGTGATATCTCAGGTGCAGCACGATACATAGAAAAACCATTTATAA